CCTACTTCTACCTGGTTTAGCCTGGGCATCTTTCTGTGAAAGCCGGCACCTGGCCACATGCCTCCACAGCGACTTTCGCTTAAGCAATGCCCCACAGTCTATACAGTGCAAAAACTCACTGGATTTAACTGGGGAATTTGGCTGTTTAGCTGGGACTAAAGTTCCAATGCCGGCCTTTAAAACCTCAAAATTGTGCTCACGGTTTCCACTATTCCTGATCAAATCAAACTGAAGTTTACGTGCTTTAGATTTCACAGGTAGAGCCAATGCTCTGGCTACGTCACTTTCATTTCCATGTTTTCTAGTCAAATGACGGGACATTTTGTGGCAGGACATTGAACAGTAGAGGCAGAAGTGTCTCTTGCTGTAAACTCGCCCCCCATTTTTCTTCTTTTGCAGCTGCATGATAACAATCTTATTTGCCTTTGGTTCGTCACTTTCCGAGTCTTGAAGAAAAGTGTTTTTGATTTTTCTTTTTCCATACTTTTTTACAGGTTTCTTCTTGACAGTTAAATCGTCAGAATCTGAGTCGACTTCATCAATTAGGGACTCTTGACTAAGCTGCACAAACAACAAATAATTTGTAATCATTCTATATAACAATTTGAAGTCATGACTTGTAGTCAGCACTTACCAGTGGTTTGTAAGCGTGCGCTTCAGTGTGCTCCTCCATGATTTCTTGCAGCCTAATGAACCACACACTTGCACCTTTTTCTAGCCTGACACCTGACTTCCTCTGTTGTGCTGCTCCATGATTGGCTCCAGCCTGCTGGACTGAAATTGCCCCAGTGTGCCCCTCCTTGATATCCCGCAACCCACCACCAGGGTTCCGACACATAACACACTTTTTTCAGGAAAGTAAACCTCCAGGGGTCCTTTCCATATTTTTACAGAGACTGCATAAGGACCGTTAGAAAAGCATTACCCATTGATTATTAAGCTTGGACCAGTGGGGTCCGGTGTTCGGGCCCCACCACGTAAAACCAGTCCCCATGACGTGAGTGGAATCTCAGGTTATGGAACCCACCAGGAGTTGAAAACAAGTGCACACAAACACAGACACACAGACACACACATAAACACAGACACACACACACACACACACATAAACACAGACACACAGACACACACATAAACACAGACACACACACACACAGACACACACAGACACACACATAAACACAGACACACAGACACACACATAAACACAGACACACACACACACACAGACACACACAGACACACACATAAACACAGACACACAGACACACACACACACACAGACACACACAGACACACACAGACACACACACACAGACACACACACACACACACAGACACACACACACACAGGTCGTCTGTAAATAAACGTGGTCAAAGCTGCTACAGTGAGATTCATAGCTGTAGATACCGGCGGCGTAATAAACTAGTCCCTGGCCGTGATTCGCCCGCTGCCAGCCAATGACGAATGCTTTTATTAATAAGGTCTTTACAAGTTGGTGGTCCTTTCCGATCCCCTCCAAATGATTGAGTTGAATAGCGTTGGAAAATAATGCATGGTCGTAAGTAAGATAAATGAGGCCCCCGGAGATAATTAGCATAAAACCTTGTGGAGTCAAGGTGGGATAAAGACGGCGTTTAGCTCGGGCTCGTACAGGACGGAATCACGGGAGAATCTACGGTTTGACTTTGCAGATGGAGGACTGTTTGTGCGTGATGTTGTTTAGATTCATTTATTCATTACTTTTCTACCCATTTCTGGGACTACAAAATGTGGAAATGTGGGGTTTAGTGTCTTGCCCAAGGACACAACGGCAGCAGACATGAGCAGTTGGGGGACGAGGCTCAAAGGCCAATGCTCTGAACTTCTGTTTGGTTTCTATTCTTCATTTACAAAACTCCTCCACTTGGGGAAGGAAGTTGTGTTGTACAATTGTTATTTTTTCTACTGAAGAAACTGTAAATGTCATAATAATGCTCAGTATGTGTTCTTTAAACATGAGTTCAGATTAAGTTTGTCGACACAGATATAGTTCTAGGCGTTTGGAGACGGGTCAACAGGACGAGCTGTGGCAGTTTTAGGTCAAGGTTCCAGCGCTCAGAGAAAGGCTGACAGTCTTTAAACTTTTATGTCTGAATCCATTTCAGAGGCTGACTCTATGTGACATCACAAGATCAAAGCAAAGAGCCCTCATTAGCTGCGGCAACGGACACTTAAAGTATTAACTACGGTCGAGCAATCTGCGGGAAATATATATATATATATAAATCAACTTGTTTGGATTTTCTTTTATTCCCTTCTGTCTCCGTCTTTTTCTGTTTCACATCATGTTTCTGGAAAAACTCGGTGCTAAAAAGTAAAAAGGTGTGAAAGCAGAATGAAGAGCGGATGAAGAGAGGTGTGTATTTGTCTGTTTCTGGATCAGTGAGTTTGGGAGAGGTGTGTATTTGTCTGTTTCTGGATCAGTGAGTTTGGGAGAGGTGTGTATTTGTCTGTTTTAAATCTCTACATTTCAAGCTGCGATCCCGGTTTATTTTATTCATTCAAGCAGAAAGTATTCAGTGTATTTACAATCCTTACTTTATCTCAGACATGTCCAAACTCATGATCGTGGGTTTGTTCACACTAAAGGGACAAACGTGAGACAAAAGGTCAAACATTAGATTTTAATTATCAGAAGATATTTTATGTTTTTTTTCTCCCAAGTTTAATTTTTAGAGAATATTTGAGGGAAACTTCACGTCCGTTGCGCATTTTTCAAAGGTCGTTTAAATTGTTATTGTTTTTTTTATGATTCCTTTTTAAATGAGATTTTCTGATGTTGTGTTTATTTTAATCTTGTGGAAGTTCATCTGCTGCTTTTTCAGACTCAGGACATTTCATTTTCTATGTCCCTGAGTCACAGAATGGTCCAATCAGAGGCTGAGCTGGTTGTTTACAATGTTGCCTAAAAATGTATTCGTTAATCTTTCCTTTTGATTTCATCCTTGATCAATCTATCACCGTCATTTTAGTTTTTGAGTTTCAACCTTTTAAAGTCCAGACACTTTACTGTAAACGCACTCTTCTCTTCACTATGAGCTTAAATGTATTTGTGGCACCGAGATTTAAACTCTACGAACACATCTCTGTTTGTGTTTCCAAACCAGAACCAGAACCAAAGGAAAAGCTCTGGTCTCTGTGGGAGTTTCAATGAGACTTGTTTGTTTTGAGAAGCCGTTGTGTCTCGATGGGACGTGACGGAGCAGGACAGAAAACTACACATTTACACATGTTCACGTCTCGTTCAGGATCAGAACAATCGCAGGAGGACGGCTGCGATCCTGCTTCACTCCGACCTGTCACTCTGTGGACGGATTACTCCCAAATACCTGAATATGCTTTAAGCGGTTTATGGGCCGTCTCCAACACATCTGCGCCGGGCTCTTTAAATATGCAAAGTTCATCCCCTTTTTCTGAAGATGTGTTTGTGGAAATACTGAAGTATACTTGGATCAGGAGGCTCTGGGTCTACACAGTCTCAGTCCTGGGTCTACAGCCTCAGTCCTGGGTCTAGAGCCTCAGTCCTGGGTCTGCAGCCTCAGTCCTGGGTCTGCAGCCTCAGTCCTGGGTCTGCAGCCTCAGTCCTGGATCTAGAGCCTCAGTCCAGGGTCTACAGGCGCAGTCCTGGGTCTGCAGCCTCAGTCCTGGATCTAGAGCCTCAGTCCTGGGTCTACAGCCTCAGTCCTGGGTCTAGAGCCTCAGTCCTGGGTCTGCAGCCTCAGTCCTGGATCTAGAGCCTCAGTCCTGGATCTACAGCCTCAGTCCTGGGTCTACAGCCTCAGTCCTGGGTCTGCAGCCTCAGTCCTGGATCTAGAGCCTCAGTCCTGGATCTAGAGCCTCAGTCCTGGGTCTACAGCCTCAGTCCTGGGTCTACAGCCTCAGTCCTGGGTCTACAGCCTCAGTCCTGGGTCTACAGCCTCAGTCCTGGGTCTACAGCCACGCTCAGTCCTGGGTCTACAGCCTCAGTCCTGGGTCTACAGCCTCAGTCCTGGGTCTACAGCCTCAGTCCTGGGTCTACAGCCTCAGTCCTGGGTCTACAGCCTCAGTCCTGGGTCTACAGCCTCAGTCCTGGTTCTACAGCCTCAGTCCTGGTTCTACAGCCTCAGTCCTGGGTCTACACAGCCTCAGTCCTGGGTCTACAGCCTCAGTCCTGGGTCTACAGCCTCAGTCCTGGGTCTACAGCCTCAGTCCTGGCTCTACAGCCTCAGTCCTGGGTCTACAGCCTCAGTCCTGGGTCTACAGCCTCAGTCCTGGGTCTACAGCCTCAGTCCTGGGTCTACAGCCTCAGTCCTGGTTCTACAGCCTCAGTCCTGGGTCTACAGCCTCCTATATAGATAAAAATTACTTACTTACATGGAAATTTTAGGTCAAAGTTTCCTTAACATAAATCAGATAAATATAACTTGTGGTGTTCCGCAAGGGTCCATACTGGGACCTACAATGTTCCTAATCACCAAAACACACCAAACTAATGAAAATACTACCCAACAATAAACATACAAATACAGCCTTTAACCAACTGGAAAATATAGTCTTGATTATAAAAGACACCAAAATACTTCTAATCTGTATTAAATTCTTCCTCTCTCCATTTTTAACGCACCTATTCTTGCTTAAGTGCTTTGAACAGACTTAACTGATGAAAGAAAGCAGCTCAGGAAAGTCCCACTCAGATGAATGACCAAAGTCGGTGTCGGACCCTCCCTCTGTTAACGTACATCGTGCACTTTCGCTTAAAGAATCTAATGGTAATCTGGATTCTGCCGGCGGTTAATTCCGCCCCGTGAAGTCATATTTCCTCCGCTCAGACCCCCCCTGGTGGTCGTAAAGACATTAGCAGCCGCACAAATGGAGGAGACACAGTGACGAATGGGAGGCTCAGGATAAAACTATGTCCTGCCTCGGGACAAAAGAGCAGAGAGCGAGAGAGAGAGAGAAGGCCGTTAACACGTCCAGTTTATGTTCTGCAGCGTCTGCGGCAAAACGAGTTAAAGGGGAGGTGGTTACAGGAGTTAAAGGGGAGGTGGTTACAGGAGTTAGAGGGGAGGTGGTTACAGGAGTTAGAGGGGAGGTGGTTAAAGGAGTTAAAGGGGAGGTGGTTAAAGGAGTTAAAGGGGAGGTGGTTAAAGGAGTTAAAGGGGAGGTGGTTAAAGGAGTTAAAGGGGAGGTGGTTAAAGGAGTTAAAGGGGAGGTGGTTAAAGGAGTTAAAGGAGAGGTGGTTAAAGGAGTTAAAGGGCAGGTGGTTACAGGCGTTAAAGGGGAGGTGGTTACAGGAGTTAAAGGGGAGGTGGTTAAAAGAGTTAAAGGGGAGGTGGTTACAGGAGTTAGAGGGGAGGTGGTTAAAGGAGTTAAAGGGGAGGTGGTTAAAGGAGTTAAAGGGGAGGTGGTTAAAGGAGTTAAAGGAGAGGTGGTTAAAGGAGTTAAAGGGGAGGTGGTTACAGGAGTTAAAGGGGAGGTGGTTAAAGGAGTTAAAGGGGAGGTGGTTACAGGAGTTAAAGGGGAGGTGGTTAAAGGAGTTAAAGGAGAAGTGGTTAAAGGCGTTAAAGGGGAGGTGGTTAAAGGGGAGGTGGTTACAGGCGTTAAAGGAGAGGTGGTTAAAGACGTTAAAGGGGAGGTGGTTAAAGGCGTTAAAGGGGAGGTGGTTAAAGGGGTTAAAGGGGAGGTGGTTAAAGGTGTTAAAGGGGAGGTGGTTAAAGCAGTTAAAGGGGAGGTGGTTAAAGGAGTTAAAGGAGAGGTGGTTAAAGCAGTTAAAGGGGAGGTGGTTAAAGGAGTTAAAGGGGAGGTGGTTACAGGCGTTAAAGGGGAGGTGGTTAAAGCAGTTAAAGGGGAGGTGGTTAAAGGAGTTAAAGGGGAGGTGGTTAAAGGAGTTAAAGGGGAGGTGGTTAAAGGAGTTAAAGGGGAGGTGGTTAAAGGAGTTAAAGGGCAGGTGGTTACAGGCGTTAAAGGGGAGGTGGTTACAGGAGTTAAAGGGGAGGTGGTTACAGGAGTTAAAGGGGAGGTGGTTAAAGGAGTTAAAGGGGAGGTGGTTAAAGGAGTTAAAGGGGAGGTGGTTACAGGAGTTAAAGGGGAGGTGGTTAAACTTATTTTTGCTGATGAAATTAGACAATCCAGTCTTTCAGAATCTGGTTTCACATTTCACACAGTCTTAGGAAATAATATTCTGTGGGTCTTGAGAATCAGTGAAATCATCAAAAACGACAGCAGTCAAAGAGTTAAAAAGTCAGAAAACGGATCCGTCCATGACTTTATAAAGATCGGAGAGTTTAGAGGTGAGACAGAGATGTGTTTGTGCCAGAAGTTCGTCACATTAAAGGGGATGTACCGGCTCCAGGTCTGAACTCTGAGGGGACATTGTCGGTTAAATCTAAAATAACGGTTTTGTTTAATTTTCTTCGTTTCTCACCACATTGTTCTGTCTGGAGATAATAATGAAGTTTTTAAATCTCTTGTCAGCGCTGGAGCCAAACCTACTTTGATTTGTTGCACTTGGTTCAATAAAGATTCACTTCTGGAAAAAGCGTTTCTAAAGTCTAAAGCCAAAAAGAGAGAATTAAAGCTGCGGTACCTGACTTTGGTGTTTGACGTCACAGAGAGAGTCCTGAAAACATTTCAGACCAAAACAAGACGTGTTTGTCTAATTAGAAAACATTTTTATGGCTCCATGCAGGTGAGAACCAGATCCTGTGAGACCGCAGAGGCTAAGCAGGACATGACCTGGTTAGTGCTGTGATGGGAGACCTCTGGGAACATCAGGTGACTCAGTGGGGCGGCTGTAAACTGTGGTTGTGTCCTTAGGCAAGACACTTCCCCCACATCAGAATGAGTCTGGTGTGTGAGTGGTTGGTGGTGGTGGGAGGGGCTTATGGCACAGACTGGTTGCCTCGCTTCTGTTAGTGTGCCCCAGGGCAGCTGTGGCTACAGTTTATCGTTTCTCTATAAATTCCTTGTTTGAAGAACCGTGTGAGTCACTATATGACACTTTGGGTTGAGAGCTGAGTGAGGGTCTTCTCTTTTTCACTTTTCTGTCTGAAAAAGCAAATCTGAAGCTGTGACAGAGGCCAAAAATACATTTTATATTTGCTTATTCATATTCATATGTCAAAAATGTGTGAATGTTTGTCAAGAGCGTCAGTGGCTCAGTTGGTAGAGCATTGGCCTTTGAGCCTGAAGGTTGTGGGTTCGAGTCTTCCTCTTCCTCTTCCTCTTCCTCCTCCTCCTCCTCCTCTTCCTCTTCCTCTTCCTCTTCCTCTTCCTCTTCCTCCTCTTCCTCTTCCTCTTCCTCCTCCTCTTCCTCTTCCTCTTCCTCTTCCTCCTCCTCCTCCTCCTCTTCCTCTTCCTCTTCCTCCTCTTCCTCTTCCTCTTCCTCCTCCTCCTCCTCCTCCTCCTCTTCCTCTTCCTCTTCCTCCTCCTCCTCCCGGGTGTTAAACCCATGGTCTTCCGCTTGAACCAGGCCTGACGGTCGCCTGAACCAGCACAGAGTCTACAGCGGACCGTCGCTAACACCGACTGTCAGGGCGCCGCCTCCGCTCGCCGTTTCCCGTCTGTCACAGATACATTAACTCGGCGAGATAGTTTTGTCCACGATTACCTCTTCATGCCCTTGCGGAGTTGGTCGGCTGCCCGCAAATGTGACCTCTTTTTGTAATGGGGTTTAAGGTTGGACTGCGGGCTCTGATGCAGCTGGACCTCCGCCAAAGATGCATTAAATATTAAAGTCCTCTTTGTTCTGATTCAAAGCTACGACGATGACGAAGGAGGAGGAAGAGGAAGAGGAGGCCGCAGTAAAACAGTTCTTTATTCTCACACAGAGCCATCCGTCTTCCTCTCAACGCACCATAACCTTTTGCATATTCACGACCGTAAGACGTGTTTAGAGGATATTTATTTCTTCTACTGCAGAGACTTTTACGTTTTACAGATGGGAATGCTCTCGGGGAAAAAGCAGAGTTTTACAGTAGTGATGGGGAAAATAGCAACGGTAAAAAACGGGTAAAAAGGTAAAGGCCAGGTGTAAAATCTGTAAAATCTGAAAAAATCTGTAAAATCTGTAAAATCTGTAAAATATGTAAAATCTGTAAAATCTGAAAAAATCTGAAAAAATCTGTAAAATCTGTAAAATCTGTAAAATCTATAAAATCTGTCAAATCTGTCAAATCTGAAAAAATCTGTAAAATCTGTAAAATCTGTAAAAATCTGAAAAAATCTGTAAAATCTGTAAAATCTATAAAATCTGTCAAATCTGTCAAATCTGTAAAATCTATAAAATCTGTAAAATCTGTAAAAATCTGAAAAAATCTGTAAAATCTGAAAAAATCTGAAAAAATCTGAAAAAATCTGTAAAATCTGTAAAATCTGTAAAATCTATAAAATGGGCAGTGGGCGAGTGCAGCATGATCCGTCTTCACACCATCATTTTGAGTTTTTAAAGTGATAGATTATTGTTTGTCCTAAATCTCAACAGTAGTTTTCTCAAGACTTTCTCCATCATCTCCCACTGATGTCTGCTGCCGTTGTGTCCTTGGGCAAGACACTTAACCTCTGGGAACAGCAGGTGCCACAGTGGGGCGGCTGCGGCTGTAAAGTGCCAAACTGCTGTTGTGTCCTTAGGCAAGACACTTCCCCCACATTAGAATGAGTCTGTGTGTGTGGCACAGACTGGTTGTCTCGCTTCTGTCAGTGTGCCCCAGGGCAGCTGTGGTTACCATGGACACTGAAAGATTAGAGGAACTTGCTCATATTTGGTCATTTATCTGGTCCTCCTTTAAGGTTCTCTGTCAGGTTCTCTGTCAGGTTCTCTGTAGGTTCTCTGTCAAGTTCTCTGTAGGTTCTCTGTCAGGTTCTCTGTCAGGTTCTCTGTCAGGTTCTCTGTCAGGTTCTCTGTCAGGTTCTATGTCAGATTCTCTATCAGGTTCTCTGTAGGTTCTCTGTCAGGTTCTCTGTCAGGTTCTCTGTAGGTTCTCTGTCAGGTTCTCTGTCAGGTTCTTTGTAGGTTCTCTGTCAGGTTCTCTGTAGGTTCTCTGTCAGGTTCTCTGTCAGGTTCTCTGTAGGTTCTCTGTCAGGTTCTCTGTCAGGTTCTCTGTAGGTTCTCTGTCAGGTTCTTTGTAGGTTCTCTGTCAGGTTCTCTGTAGGTTCTCTGTCAGGTTCTCTGTCAGGTTCTTTGTAGGTTCTCTGTCAAGTTCTCTGTAGGTTCTCTGTCAGGTTCTCTGTCAGGTTATCTGTCAGGTTCTCTGTCAGGTTCTCTGTAGGTTCTCTGTAGGTTCTCTGTCAGGTTCTCTGTCAGGTTCTCTGTCAGGTTCTCTGTCAGGTTCTCTGTCAGGTTCTCTGTAGGTTCTCTGTAGGTTCTCTGTAGGTTCTCTGTCAGGTTCTCTGTCAGGTTCTCTGTAGGTTCTCTGTCAGGTTCTCTGTCAGGTTCTCTGTCAGGTTCTCTGTCAGGTTCTCTGTCAGGTTCTCTGTCAGGTTCTCTGTAGGTTCTCTGTCAGGTTCTCTGTCAGGTTCTCTGTAGGTTCTCTGTCAGGTTCTCTGTCAGCTGAGGTCGAGCTGTATTAGTTTACGTTTGTTGATTCTACAGAACTGAGAGACTCCCCGAGCACATGGTCCTTCAGCTCTGAGCTGTAAGACTGTTTATACACAATGATCTTAGAAATGTATTGTTTGGTGAATTGTTTGTTCAAAAGCCTGAAATGTTCTGGATCAGTGATGACGACAAGATGAAATGGTTGTTTACTTCTAATGTGTTTAAATTGGCTTCTTTTGTTTGTAAAGCCTGGTTGAGGCGCAGACTTGTTTGTTTAAATAAGTTTATGTATTGTATAGTGTGCCTATTGTCTGGCATCTGGTGCTTTTGTTGGTGTTACTGGTGTCTTATAAGCCCATTAGGGCTGGGCATACAGTGTGTATGCAAGACACAATAATAAAAACTATTCATTCATTCATTCATTCATATACAGATATTATTATAGATGTAAAAAACACACAGAGCCTGAGGTCCATAAGAGCAGAGACCAAAGTCCATAAGAGCAGAGTCCAAAGTCCATAAGAGCAGAGACCAAAGTCCATGAGAGCAGAGTCCAAAGTCCATGAGAGCAGAGTCCAAAGTCCATAAGAGCAGAGACCAAAGTCCATAAGAGCAGAGACCAAAGTCCATAAGAGCAGAGACCAAAGTCCATAAGAGCAGAGACCAAAGTCCATAAGAGCAGAGACCAAAGTCCATAAGAGCAGAGACCAAAGTCCATAAGAGCAGAGACCAAAGTCCATAAGTGCAGAGACCAAAGTCCATAAGAGCAGAGACCAAAGTCCATAAGAGCAGAGACCAAAGTCCATAAGAGCAGAGACCAAAGTCCATAGGAGCAGAGACCAAAGTCCATAAGAGCAGAGACCAAAGTCCATAAGAGCAGAGACCAAAGTCCGGAAGAGCAGAGACCAAAGTCCATAAGAGCAGAGACCAAAGTCCATAAGAGCAGAGACCAAAGTCCATAAGAGCAGAGACCAAAGTCCATAAGAGCAGAGACTAAAGTCCATAAGAACAGAGACCAAAGTCCATAAGAGCAGAGACCAAAGTCCATAAGAGCAGAGACCAAAGTCCATAAGAACAGAGACCAAAGTCCATAAGAGCAGAGATCAAAGTCCATAAGAGCAGAGACCAAAGTCCATAAGAACAGAGACCAAAGTCCATAGGAGCAGAGACCAAAGTCCATAAGAGCAGAGACCAAAGTCCATAAGAGCAGAGACCAAAGTCCATAAGAGCAGAGACCAAAGTCCATAAGAGCAGAGACCAAAGTCCATAAGAGCAGAGACCAAAGTCCATAAGAGCAGAGACCAAAGTCCATAAGAGCAGAGACCAAAGTCCATAAGAGCAGAGACCAAAGTCCATAAGAACAGAGACCAAAGTCCATAAGAGCAGAGACCAAAGTCCATAAGAGCAGAGACCAAAGTCCATAAGAACAGAGACCAAAGTCCGTAAGAACAGAGACCAAAGTCCATAAGAGCAGAGACTAAAGTCCATAAGAGCAGAGACCAAAGTCCATAAGAGCAGAGACCAAAGTCCATAAGAGCAGAGACCAAAGTCCATAAGAGCAGAGACCAAAGTCCATAAGAACAGAGACCAAAGTCCATAAGAGCAGAGACCAAAGTCCATAAGAGCAGAGACCAAAGTCCATAAGAACAGAGACCAAAGTCCGTAAGAACAGAGACCAAAGTCCATAAGAGCAGAGACTAAAGTCCATAAGAGCAGAGACCAAAGTCCATAAGAACAGAGACCAAAGTCCATAAGAGCAGAGACCAAAGTCCATAAGAGCAGAGACCAAAGTCCATAAGAACAGAGACCAAAGTCCGTAAGAACAGAGACCAAAGTCCATAAGAGCAGAGACTAAAGTCCATAAGAGCAGAGACCAAAGTCCATAAGAGCAGAGACCAAAGTCCATAAGAGCAGAGACCAAAGTCCATAAGAGCAGAGACCAAAGTCCATAAGAGCAGAGACCAAAGTCCATAAGAGCAGAGACCAAAGTCCATAAGAGCAGAGACCAAAGTCCGTAAGAGCAGAGACCAAAGTCCATAAGAGCAGAGACCAAAGTCCATAAGAGCAGAGACCAAAGTCCATAAGAGCAGAGACCAAGACCAAAGTCCATAAGAGCAGAGACCAAGACCAAAGTCCATAAGAGCAGAGACTAAAGTCCATAAGAACAGAGACCAAAGTCCATAAGAGCAGAGACCAAAGTCCATAAGAGCAGAGACCAAGACCAAAGTCCATAAGAGCAGAGACCAAAGTCCATAAGAGCAGAGACCAAGACCAAAGTCCATAAGAGCAGAGACCAAAGTCCATAAGAACAGAGACCAAAGTCCATAAGAGAGACCAAAGTCCATAAGAGCAGAGACCAAGACCAAAGTCCATAAGAGCAGAGACCAAGACCAAAGTCCATAAGAGCAGAGACCAAGACCAAAGTCCATAAGAGCAGAGACCAAAGTCCATAAGACCAGAGACCAAAGTCCATAAGAGCAGAGACCAAAGTCCATAAGAGCAGAGACCAAGACCAAAGTCCATAAGAGCAGAGACCAAAGTCCATAAGACCAGAGACCAAAGTCCATAAGAGCAGAGACCAAAGTCCATAAGAGCAGAGACCAAAGTCCATAAGAGCAGAGACCAAAGTCCATAAGAGCAGAGACCAAAGTCCATAAGAGCAGAGACCAAAGTCCATAAGAGCAGAGTCCAAAGTCCATAAGAGCAGAGACCAAAGTCATAAGAGCAGAGACCAATAAGAGCAGAAGACCAAAGTCCATAAGAGCAGAGACCAAAGTCCATAAGAGCAGAGACCAAAGTCCCATAGAGAGCAGAGACCAAAGTCCATAAGAGCAGAGACCAAAGTCCATAAGAACAGAGACCAAAGTCCATCCATAAGAGCAGCAGAGACTAAGAAAGTCCATAAGATAAGAGCAGAGTCCATAAGAGCAGAGACCAAAGTCCATAAGAGCAGAGACCAAAGTCCATAAGAGCAGAGACCAAAGTCCATGAGAACAGAGACCAAAGTCCATAATAGCAGAGACCAAAGTCCGTCTTGGATCATCACTAACCCTAACCCTGTTCTTTGACCCGTTTGTCTCGG